CACATTTGTACATCTTGGGTCACGACACATTCGTACCTCTTGGGTCACGACATGTTCGTACCTCTTGAATCACTATACGTTCATACCTCTTCGGTCATGACACATGCAAATATTATTTTCTAAGAAGTCAATATTAATATTTAAACTTATGAAAATGTATGAAAAATATGATTGTGGCTATTAAAATGAAATATATGCCCTTTCAATGAAGAGTTGTCAAATATTTGATGACATCATCAATCATATGAAAAGGTTTTTTTTGGTCCATTAGATCTTAAAATCAAGTTAACTATGACCATTGGATTGAATTTTTTTTTTCCTATAAAAAAATGCTGATGTCACTTTCAGTTTGCTATTATATATAGATTTATACATCTATAAAGTAAGAGATAATAAGATTTTTTGTTGAGAAAATGATTAAAATAGCACTAAAATTTTTTTTATCACAAATATAGTATTTAAAAATAAAAATGACCAAAATAACATTTAAGTACTTTCACTTTAGGCTTTGACTTTAAAATTATGGCTGTAGAAAATTTGGCTATTGAAACTTTAGTCGTTAGTTTAATTTCTATTAAAAACAAATTAATAGTTAAAATTATAGAATTTTAAATTATGATTTGAAATACTATGGAGTTAAATATATATGATTATAAGCTTTCAAATTCATAAAGTCAATCGGACTTTTAATGTTTTATCAAAAGAGATAAAATATACATCTATCAGTCGTGTTTCAAAAAAAAAAATACATCTGTAATATTAATTTTAGTAATGTGAAATGTTATTTTAGTTACCACTTATCAGTCAAGTCCTTAACCATTTACATTAACTTTTAAAAGTTTCAATCATAATTACAAAACATTTATCACATTTTCCAGTTTCTAACAAACCCAAACCGTTTTTACAAAGTGCAAATCTGAAAGCTGAAAGAGAAGACTCCATCCAAAGTCCAAACAGCTTAATAGTTTCTGATGGTGCTACTGGTGCAAGGGGTGCAAACAAGATCAACCGTTGAGATACAAACACGTAGAACTTCGTGAACAACTCCTCGTTGCAGCACTCGTAGAACCGTTTCTTCTTTCCCTGTTACAACATCAGCTAGAGACACCTGACGCGAAACAGTCTCGTCTCTCATTCTTCTCCCACGTGACCATCTACCTAACGTCAACCATTTCACCCAAACTAGCTGCTCCGAGACTCCACATCGCCTCATCGCATCCAAAACTTGCTCCCCGGGTTTCATGTGTTGTTTTATACAGTAGATGAGTCCAACCAGGTTGAGTAGAACACTCAAGTTTGGTTTGAAGAGAAACAACTCCACATCTTGGAATCCTAACTGCATCGACCTCATGGTTTCAACCGCGTGTAGATACTCGCTTGCCTCTAGAGATAACGCAGCAGGCAACTCGGTCACAAATGCAATCACCTCAGAAGCTCTAGATGCCATTTCCATGTGTTGCATCACGTAAACTCTTCTCCATTTCTAACAAAATGTTTAGAAATTAGAATATAATAAGCATAAATAAACACTACTCAGATCAAAGTAACATAGTTTCTTTCACAAGAAAATATAAAATAAACATATTCAACATAGGAAACTAGTAAAGTCTACATGTAAGTTTCAATTTCTTGATCTATACAATTCATCAACACCAGTCAAACAGATCCAAATATCAATGATGAAGCCATGAGGTCATAGCAAACACTATACATATCCTCTAAGCAACTAACAAACTCACAATCAGACTTTAAAAAAAGCAAAAAACTCTAAAACTACTTGAAAATGAAAGAAACAAGAATATATGGACATGGAGGTGACTAACTCCCTCTACCTGAGAAGTTTCATCAGTCTGTGCATCAGGAAACAGAGTATTGTCTCCATTAAAAGTGGACAGCAAGGGCCATCTTTCCTTAAACAGAGGTTCCCATAAGATATCAGAAGCACATAGCTCTCTCCAGAACCTAGAACAGCTACTGAGTGCGCAAAGATCAGTCACCTATCCAATCAAAACAACACAGTTTCATCAAGAATCAGTCTCATAAAGTTTATAATTAATAAAAAGACACACAAAGCAGTAATTTAGCAAGAACCTGAAGGTAAGATCCGATCTTCAAGATTATGTCGTGTGGGAGATCGCTACAAGAAAATGGAATTGAACAATTCATGGTTCTTATTTTGTTTTAATCCAATCTTCATTTCCTTCTATCTTTGTAGCTGTATTTGGTTTATAAGGAGTACACGTTACAAGATGATGATGATGATGATGATGATGACTCATCACATAAGAAAAAAGAAAACCTTTCTTGATGTTGACACAGACAACAACAACAAAAAAAAAAGACGAGTTACCGAACAGTAGTTTCGTCTCTTGTATTTCAGAATGAATCCACAAACTAAAAATGATTGGAGGTCCACCTACAGACAAGTTGAACAAGACAAAGACAAACTTTGTAAAACTGAATAATACTTTATTAGAATGATCAAATATGTCTAATAATGAAGCAAAGACGAGCTTTTATAGTGCTCAAAACTTAAAAGAAAATAATTACAAAAGACTTAACTTAAGATATCAAAATAAATGCATAGCCATTATAATGATTGGGGGATTTGATTGCTTGTATTTTGAGATCTTGGTGATGAATCCATGCTTCATGAGTCTTCTGGAAGTATATTTGGTCGTCCCAAATGACCAATCTAGCCGTTGGTACCAATCTAGCTGTTGGTGCCATCGGAAAAGTGAATTCCAAATTCGGAGGTTATATGTAGTTATTTTTATTCACATCGTTCGGATATGTAGATTTTCTGAAAATATGTTTAGTATTTTATATTGTAGTAATTATTTTTCTGATTGACGCATGGTTAGAGATTGAAAATTGTGTGGTGGTTATGTTAGATTCAGGTGATTATGAACTGTAAATTTAAAATCAATTAGTGATTAGTATATTGACTCTAACTTTTTATATATTACTTAAGGCCCTATTAAATTTTTGATGTGGGATATATTATTACTAATACCCTTCGTCGAGATGTTGGTTCTTATTAGCCAGAAATCTCGGAACTTTAAGATAATTATACTTAGCCGAGCGAGTCAAATACGACAATTCTACTTAGTGGAAAGGAAACGTGAATCTGTTTTTTTAGACAAGACACATAGTATTTATATTACACATATTTGATATGTTAATGGATTATGCATGTGTCTACAATATTACACATATATGATATGGAATCAAAACTTAATACAAATTAGCTGTATAGTTAAACTAAGAAAACATTTTTGTATATAAAACAGCATTAAATGAATATAGTTTTTTTTTTTTGACGTCGAAAGCTCCATATTTTATTATCTTGGTTCTAGAGGATTGGTTTGAGCCAACCCATTCGAAACCTGAAAATGGGAAAATAGAAGATCACGAGCACGAGTTTCTTTCGCAAGAGAGTCTGCTCTAGAGTTTAAAGTACGAAATATAAAATTTATGGAGCAAGATGAGAACTTAGTACTAAGTTGTAGAAATTCTTCGGATTCGGCCAAAATGAATATAGTAAGTATAATGATCTATCTTTATAAAATGAAAAATAAAGGAAACTTGAGATTTTATTTTCAAAAAGATGGAAAGTTTAAAGAGCAAGGATTGACTGTAGAAAATATTACCATTTTCTTAATTTATAATTAAAAAGTTTGATACTATAAATATAGAGAAAAAATTAAGTAAGATTTTCTTTTTGAACTGTGATTTCTTTCTTTTTGTTTTGTTTTGTAACATTTGTACTGAGAAAACAAATATTATTTATATGTCATATACCCCTTATACACATAGTCATCATTTCTCTTTATGTTATATATATATTATACACACAATCATCATTTCTCTTTTGTAATATATACATTGTTAGGGTTCAGCATTTTGATAAGGTTTGTTATACGGTGAGAAGATTATTAGAACTAGTATTTTTTGTTTGCGATTCTAATATGGCGTGTTGCATCTGGTCCAAGAGATCACCACCAGTATTTAATCCAGACAAGTAGATCAACTTATCTCTACAATTTTTATGTAATTCGAATAACAATATTCTTTTTAATAATCTACTTACAATGCTAACTGGTACACTTTTTCTCCCTTTGAAAATTTGCTAGTGTTGTTGTGAATGCTGAATTCAATATCGGGATGCATTGTAAAAACTGTGCAAAAAGAGTCAGAGATGTAGTTCTCAACTTGAATGGTAAAAAATACAATATTTTTATTCAGAATATGTATTTACTCAATTGATGGTAATTATATAGTACCGACATTGTAATAATCGTTTCAATGATATGTTATAATATATTAGGAGTTCGTCAATGTGATGTGAATCTGGATACTCAAAAGGTCATAGTCATTGGTGATTTTAATTTTGAAGAGGTTTTGGATATTGTTAGGAGAAAACTTCGTAAAAGGGCAGAAGTTTTGACAATGACTAAGAAATCTGATGTAATTTCAAAAGAAGATGGTGAATCAGAAATAGTTCCAGCGAAGAATGAAGAATCTGATATAGTAAAGGAAACTGATGATAAACCTGAAGAGAGGTAAATAACTTTTCATATTTTTCATTATCCAATATAATTAAAGCGTCAGTTAATTTGTTACTCATTGTTTAAAACACTATACATATGTTTCAGCTCTTCTTTGATATGTTTAAGTATAAGTGAAGTTGAGTACCATATAACATGTATGTCTGAGGAGCACGAGATATACTTCGGAAAAATACTTTCTACATTCAAAGGTAATATGTAGTTTTTTTATTCACATCATTCGCGGATATGTAGATTTGGTGACAATAAATGTTAGTATTTTATATTTTGTACTAATTAATTTTTTTCTGAATGACGTATGGTTAGGGATTGAAAAATGTGTGGTGGATATGGAAAAGAAAAGGATTGTGGTCACCGGGGACTTTGATCAAGAGAAACTATTAAAAAAGCTTCAGAAAAGGATGCGTAAGATAATGAAGAAAGATGTAGATATTGAGAAATATCATGACTGTTAATGGTTTTATTTATCAGAACTTTAAAAGATGATTACATAGCATTGGATATTGATAACAACTATTAATTGCTACTTGGCTTTGATATGTTGTTCTATTATTTTCTTCTAATAATTTTTGATTTTACTGAATAATAATAAATAAAATAAAACAGTTGTGTGATGGTTTATCATCATGATTATGAATTTTATATATTTAAACTAATTTATATAGACAGCAATTTCAGAAGCTGTTTCTTTGGACATCAGAGACTTGATTTGTCACTACTCAAAGGATCCTGTGACTCTTCTCAACGGAGGATGCTTTATTTCTGTTTCCAAAACCCTCCTTGAGGAGGTGCAAACTCGATTTCGTTTTAATGATTAGTAAGGTTTGACCAAAAAAAAGATAAGTAAAATAACTGCAAAATAAACCTCCATCTATTAAACATATGAGACCAAATAAAACTGTTTATTTGTCTAAATAGCCAATTTACCATTCTTTACACGAAGTCTATGTTTCTGAATTCCTTATTCAAAGACATCTCACCCAAAGGTATGAAAGTAGACAAAGAAATTTATTTGATTTTACAAAGATGTTAGATGATTGTACAGCTCAATCACACTCTTAAACAAAGTTACATCACAAAAACGAAAATACATATACTAATCTTCTTTTTACACACATCGCCTTTTACACTTCTCAGCTTCTCATCACCATCTCAGTTATCATAATATAACCAAAGAACTTTTCTGTTGCTTCTTTTCGGCGGGAACATTTATCATTACTTAAAACAAAACCCGCTGGTTCACTTAGAGTGTCTCTAAATGTTTTTTTAGCCACCGACTCTACTCTCAGTACAGAGCTTCCCATGGTGCTCCGATTAAGTTAAGTGCGGTTGCTGCGATATGTGATGGCATGAGTCCAGCTTCAGCCATTTGATCAGCTGGTGAGCCGTGGTCGATGTACCGATCAGGCAACACCATTGGTCTCCACTGATACATTGCCAAATTACAAAACCCATTAGATTTCAAGAAGACAAAGCAAACTTATAGGAAATATATGTAAAAAAAGTTGTTATAAACCTTGAGCTTCCCATCGAGAAGACCATCAAGAGCAAGAAACTGAACAACGTGCGATCCAAACCCACCAATGGAACCTTCTTCAACAGTGATCAGTACCTCGTGAGACTTAGCTAATCTGCGAATGAGAGCACGGTCCAACGGCTTGCAGAACCGTGCATCTGCTACGGTTATGTTTAGTCCACGTTCTTGAAGCATCACTGCTGCTCCTAAACAACTCTGAACCGCTGAGCCATAACCTAATAACGCAACTCTCTCTCCTTCTTTTAAGATCTTACCTTTCCCAACCTGAAATACATTCTTTTCTTTTGTAAAAAAATGATTCAGAAAGAGAGACTGATATGAGAGGATCAGATTAAGTTTATATACCTCAAGTGGAACACCTTTGTTTCCTGGAGGTAATGCAACGCCAATACCGTTACCTCTAGGGTAACGGAAACAAGAAGGACGGTCATCAATAGCAACAGCGGTTGCAACCATGTTAAAGAGCTCAGCTTCATCTGATGGAGCCATTACTATCATGTTAGGAAGACAAGCCATAAACGTCACATCAAAAGCTCCACAATGTGTTGGACCATCAGCTCCCACAAGTCCAGCTCTATCCATTGCAAATCTCACCGGTAGTTTCTGCAAATCAACATCATGCACAACCTAAAGAAAAAAAACCACAAATCACATACTCCATTAATATTTTTCACAAAAATGATTCATAAGATTAAAGAGTGTTTTAAACTTGCCTGGTCATAAGCACGCTGCATGAAAGAAGAATAGATTGCACAGAAGGGCTTAAGTCCTTCACATGCTAAACCAGCAGCAAAAGTAACTGCGTGTTGTTCAGCTATTCCGACATCAAAACATCTTGTTGGGAAGCGACGTTGGAAGAGATTTAAGCCAGTCCCACCTCCCATGGCTGCATGAATCGCGACCACGTCTTTGTCTACCTCAGCTTCCGCGACCAAAGCCTCCGCAAAGTAAGTAGTGTAAGACTGAGTCTTGTTAGTACTTTTGAACTGTTTACCAGTCGCTGGATCGAATTTCACAACACCTGAAAAGGAAAAAAGAATCAATATAAATATTATCACACTCCTTATGAACAAAAGAAATACATTATCCATTCAAAGTCTCTTTACCATGATACTTATCATCAGCTCTCTCTGCATAAGGATAACCACGGCCCTTCTCTGTTACCACATGAATGAGTACAGGTCCTGTCGTTCTGGCACTCTTGACTTCCTTAAGAATGGCTACCAGATCATCTATGTTGTGCCCATCAACTGGACCAATATAGTAGAGACCAAGTTCTTCGAACAGTGTTGAACCAGTCCCGCTTATCATTCCTCGAGCATACTCATCAACCTTAGCAGCCAATTGGTGCATTGGCCCGCCTATTTGCTTTGTCACACCCTACACACAACAGCAAAAACTAAAATCTTTATTCACTCCATAAAGATCAGTAATCTTTACCATTCTAGAAAAGAAATGGAATATGTATACTTGCCTTTGCGACTTCTCTCAACTCTCTGAGAGCTGGGTTAGACTGCAACCGACTAAGAGCACTGCTCAATGCTCCAACAGGTGGACTTGGTCCATCCAAAGTAGCAGTAGGTAATGAGACTTGCTTGTTGTCATTAAGAATGACAATCATATCAGAGTCTAGATATCCAGCGTTGTTCATTGCTTCATAAGCTTGCCCTGCTGTCATAGCACCATCACCAATCACAGCAACTACATTGTTGCTCTTCCCTTTCAAATCCCTTCCTACAGCCATTCCTGTAAGTAAAAGCCAAACATTCCGATTCAGACTTGTCTTTCTTGTTACCACAAACACAAGGCAATACTTTCTTTGATTTACCTAAGCCAGCAGATATTGTGGTTGAGCTATGTCCTGTACCAAAGCAATCATGTTCACTCTCTCCTCGCTTGGTGAAACCGGAGAGACCGTTGGTTTGCCTCATAGTCGGCATCTTTCCTCTTCTCCCGGTAAGAATCTTGTGAGGATAAGACTGATGACCAACATCCCAAAGAATCTTGTCCTGTGGGGTGTTGAAAATGTAGTGAAGAGCCACAGTGAGTTCCACAACACCAAGACTTGACCCCAAATGTCCACCAGTTTTCGAGACGTTGAAGATCACATCTGATCTCAGCTCATCAGAAAGTTGTTTCAGTTCCTGCCCATGAGTTAAACCATCAATATGAAGCTAAAAACATATAAATCAAGGCTTGAGGTTGATTCAGTTTTTTTTACCTTGATGGATAGATTTTTCATGTGGATTGGGTAATTGATTGTGTCAAGTAATGGAGTTGGTGGTCTGTTTGAGTAATATTCACCCTTCTCTGCAAGTGAAGCATTCACTTTTGCCTTTCTGTTTGACTGATACACACAACCAAAATCAACAACAATAACGAGATAAGTACAAAAGCTGTCATTTTCTCAAATCAATTTCCATAAACTATAACCAAAGAGGCAAGTCACTGGTCTAATTTCAAAACTGTTTCACTAATTTAACATAGAAAAAAGTGTCGGACTTGTTTGACTTCTGTCAAAAATGAAGTAAACCCATAATTTTAAGTCAAGATTTTATCAAATGGGTTATTACAAAATCTAAACTTGAACATAATCCAACAAACAAAATCTAAACTTGACCATATAATCCAACAAAGTTCTAAAGTCTTTCTTCCATGGATAATAAGAGAAGAGAGAAGTGAATCTTACATGGGAATTGTTGGGTCTGAGACATGGTGATGGAAGATCTGTAGCCAAAGATCTAGAAGAAGACAGAGAAGTTGACTTACAAGAGTCTGTTGAAACACCTTTGGTGGCTACTATGTAAGAAGGAAAAGCAAATGCAGACAGAGCCATTAAAGAAAGGGAAAGACTTTGAAAACTTGGGGCAAGATTAATGTAAGTTAGATCAGATAATTTATGAGGAACAAAGAGAATCTAATTAGGAAAACTGAGGTTATCAAGAACAGTGAAAAATCAATAAGTGTACTTTAGAATCCACTAAAAATGACAAGTGATGATAATGTGTGGTGGTGGTGGTGTTGGTGGTGACAGTGGTGGAGAGTTGAAGAGAAAAGATGGAGACTTTTTTGTAATAAAACGACAAGAAAGCTAACTTCAAGGCTACGAATTTTCTATGTAACGGTGTGTTTGATATTTATAACAGTGAGATGGTTCGTGATCCGCAGAGACGTTGAGGTTTTGGTTGGTCCACGTCACCCAAGAAATCCTACTTTTGGATAGATATTGATAAATCATTATAGTGTGTATATATTACTACCTATTTTGTTTTCTTTTCTTTTATATGGATTTTAATTTTTTAAATAAAAAGGTGACAAATAATGGTTGCTTTTCATCCATCGAATGTTTTGCTTACAACTAATGTACCAAAGATTAGAAAGATTATTGGTATCTAAAGAAAAATCTTGACCAAATAATCCCAAATAAAACTCCTCTAAACAATAGGAACAACTTTAATCAGTCTATTTTCCATTCTAAAAAACTGAAATATTTTCTTTAACTTGACTTTGATTTTTACTGATAATAAAATAAAAAAAGATTGTTTTCCAAAAATACAGTGATGCATTTATTTTTATATGACTTTGTTTTCCCTTTAAAAAAATTAGTGATATTAAGATGAAATTCAGTTTTATTATAAAATTATATTTTGACATGAGGAAAATCTTATTGTATAAAGTTCAGTTCTTCAAAGTTATTAATTAACACAATCGTGACATATGTCAATTATATATCTAAGATTGTAACATGTATTAATACTATTTTTTTATAAAATCATTAAAAAGATAATTGTAAAAAATATTTGATATGAATTATATTTTTACAAATAACCAAAAATTGTAAAAGATGGTTTAATTTTAATTTTCTTTTATTCAAATCATAATTAAAAAGATCATAAACCAAAAAGAACTATCATTATTCAAATATATTAACATCAATTTTTGAAAAAAAATTATATATTTTTGTTTTTACAAATGTTATACCAAAAACGATCTGTAAACATAAATTATTAAATACTAGTTTTCCTTTTTCAAAATCACAAAGAAAAAAATAATTGTTAAAAAAATTGAAAGTAATTATACTTTCTTAAAAAAATAAACAAGAATGTTTAATGTTAATTTTATTTTATTCAAATCCTAATTAAAAAGACAATAGCCCAAAAATAACTAAAATTATTCATATATTAACAAGATTTTTTGAAAAAAAATTAATAGTAATTTTTTGTTTTTACAAATACAATACAAACAAAATTAAAAAAATATTTAATACTAATTTTGTTTTTCTAAAATCATAAAAATATAAATGTAAAAAAAACTGATAGTAATTATCCTTTAAAAATATTAACCCCTAAAATTTTAAGAGAGTGTTTAATATTAATTTTTAAATCCTAATTAAAAAGATCATAAACCAAAAGGAATTACAATTATTTATATATATAAGACTAAGCTCTCTCATATTTTGTCATTTCTCATATTTGATCACCAAACCTAATTTTTGATCACCAAACCTAATTATCGATTTAAGAAAAATATTAAGTAAATTTTTTGCATGGTCTTTCACATTTCCACATGTTATTTTTTTGGTTATGATGTAGTACAACGTAAGCTAACGTCTGTATTATGCTTATGTGTGTTTTTTTGTATTGACTCTGTGAAATTGGTTATGCTAGGTAAATTAATGGCAACGCCAATTTATTACTTTAATAGATTTATTTATACTTATGTGTGTTCGTTCTATTTATTATTTCTAACTAAAATCGTAATTTAATTTGTTATCAGGAATCTTATAAAAAATAATAGCTTCGGAAAGTTATTTAACATCAGATCAGTTAACTAAAAAACTTTTTTACCATCGTACTGCAATATGTTTTACTAGAAATGAAAATTTAAACAAGAATAATGAACTTATAGAGATGAATTTTCTTCTACTTGATGAGAATGTAAATATTGATTTATTAAAAACTTATATGATTTCCTTATTAAAATAATTTGTTGATTATGTATTAAAATACGATTCAAGGTTATGTGCATTATTATCTTATTGAAAACTTGGGAGGTGGGTTACGTGAAAGAATCCTTATTGAAATCTGTAATTTTAATTTGTAAAATTGCAATAAAAAATATGAACTCTCAGATCATAAATTTCAACTCTCAGATCATAAATTTCAGATAAGATTAATCAAAAGATTTTGCTTAAGCACCGTCTGAAAAATTTCTTTTCAAAATTCTCTCAACTGAAATATTTCATACGATTTATATGGTAATATTCATAATTTTATATCAATTTTTGTATTGATTTGGTTGTCGAACATTGTATATTTTTATCAATTAATTGGATATTTGTATGAATTTTGCTTGAAATAACATTATTGTATAACACAATGTAATTGGATATATAAATAATATAGAGAAAATAGATGTTCGTAATCATAATTTCACTGTGAAGAAGATATTATTTTTAAATCCAATTCTATTAATGAGATTGTAACTATAAAATAAATCTCACATAACTTATACAAAAAACTTAAATTTATAATAAATTATTTCTTATTTTATGTTATTTATTAAATTAAAACATCAAACAAAATTCATTGTAGAAACTTATCTAGTATAAAATAATATACTAGAGATGCTCTTAAAAGTAATTCTTCCAGATTATTATCCTTGTTCGCATATACATATTTTGTATTTGTAATTTTCAAAAGTTACAAAATAATTCGTTAGGCGTAACGATCGAAATTTTTTGAACAAGAGTTCATAGCGATGTCAGAACAAAATAATATAGTAAATATAATCAATATTTGTTGACAAAAAAATATACTCAAATATTTTATTAGATTTAAATATATTGATGTGTTGCTTCGTGTTTTACAATTAGGCTTGCATTAGTATATAGAGTGTACAACATCATTTATTAAAATATTATTTAATAAGTAACTAATACTTGTTTTATTTGATGTCATTACAAAATAATATAGGTAAAACGAATAAATACTAAAACATTATTTATATTGTTTTACAATTAGGCTCAAATTAATATATAGCATAATTTAATAAGATATTGGTTTTATAACTAACTAACATGTGTTTTATGTGATGTCATTGCAAAATAATTAGCTAAAACGAATAACCACTACAACATTATTAGTTAATATATCAATGTTTTGGATCTTGTTTTACAATTAGACTCACATGAGGCATATCATATTAAATCTACGTATGCACGTTTAATTCGAAAAACATTACAGTATTCAATGCGGCCGAACCAACTTTTACATATCATTAAGAATGTCAATAATTGATGAGTTGCAAAGAAGACTCCAACCCATAACAAAACCCACATCAAAACTATATTTTTTATTTTTATATTATTAGATTAGAAATGTTACTATTATTTAATATATATATATAATAAATAAAGTTTATTATGTAGTTATATTGCACAAAAAATATCACACTGAAATATTTCTTTTAAAATAAATATCTACTAATTTAATATATATATATATATATATATATATATATATATATATATATACTTATTTGATACATACTGCAAGAATTGGATTTCCATGATTAAGAACTCTCATATCTGATCAAGTTTATAACACAACTGAAGAAATCAAAATTCTGTAGATATGTTTTTCAGACTTCAAAATCATTCATATCTCTAACATGAATGCACAGTCAGATTTCAGATTCTTTGACTAACACCACAAATTTTTCTATAAAGAATTTTATTTTATTGATTGGTATATTCCGATTTGATTATTTAGACCACCTCGAGTTTAAGTAATATGATAGTAGTTCATTGTAAATAAAAATTTTATTTTAATATTTGTAAGATGTTGATTTTACATATTTACTTTTCTATTTTTTTGTATTTATCTTATTAATGATTTTTATTTAACTAACATTTAACTAATAAAATTGTGTTTAATTTTGTGTAAGAGCGTCTCAAATTTAATGTGCTACAATAGCTTACACTAAAATTGCGTGGTTTTGCCAACTCTCTTAAAAGTACAACTTGGAGGAGACATGAGAGAACATATGGGTGCAAGATTCAACCCATTGCTCTAGCAAAGGTCCTAAGACCTGGCTCGAAGACATGTAATCCTACAAAAACCGTTTTTGAGCATTTGGCGAAAGTAAGATTAGACACAAATACTTATTACTCGTGTTATACATGTTATTCGTCTTTGTATATGTTTCTTACCTCGTATCCATTCTAGTATTTTTTTCGTTATCAAATCGAGTGTCAGCTTGATTGTTTCCTTTAACATCTTCATCTAGATTAACGAAAGCCAGTATAATCTGAATCAATCATATTAACTAACGATCAACTAATCACTTATCATTCATGTAACGGTGAGGTTAAACCAAACGTCCAAATGTCACACACATAGTAGCAGATCTAGAATAATTTTTAATTGGAGGCGCTGTCATAAATCTTCAGTTAGGCGGGAGCATTTTGATAAGGTATAATTTGAACTTATTTTTTAGGAAAAAAAATGAAATTTAGAAATAGGAACTTTATAAAACAAAATCAAAATTTAACTGACCCCCTAGTCACACATATTAACAAATATCCTTATATACAACTATAAAACTCTTAACAATCATAGTAGTTGAATTTATAGATTTTTACTAGTGCTATCACGGTGCCATAACTAGAATTCAAACCGGAAATACACATGTGTGAATTGTAGATTACGGAGAGACAACACATACAACAACTTCTTTCTAAAAAAAAAAAAAAACACATAGAACAACTTATACTGTCATACATATTTATACTCTTAAGCATATATTCAAATATCTCTGACCATCACTTCACCACATCGTTATAACAATGGTTTAAATCTATAGGGGCCGGCACTAAAATACAGCATATTTTCTTTTAGCTATTCCTACTTTAGGTTTGAGAAGCTAAACAAAATATATAGAGTTGGTGAGTAAATTCTGAAAGTCACATTTAAATAACTTTTATGAATGTCTCAGTCAATTCTATTGTCAAATAATGTCTAACAAAAAAAAATTCAAAAAAATGTCATAAATCGTATTTGTCACGTAACGTAAATGTTCTTGTTCGTTTATACCAATAATTTAGTAAGACAGGTCTCTACTTGCGTCCACTGTATCCAAACAAACTTTTTAAATCTCTTATATTTTTCGTCATCACTAACGTCACAAATTGCGTTATTCAATGTACTTAGTGTGGTTGCTCTTCTTTTTTTAATAGTTTTCTCATCACTTAGATCTGAGTCAGTATAATCTCTATATTAACCTAAACTTGTGATATGTCTTTCATTAACTACAAACACAAATACAAAGAAATGGTTAACGATAATGATTCACCGAAGTCACCAACCGGACCACACTTCCTGTTCGTGACATTTCCAGCACAAGGCCACATAAACCCATCTCTCGAACTCGCTAAACGCCTCGCCGGAACCTTCACCGGAGTTAGAGTCACCTTCGCAGCTCCAGTCTCCGCCTACAACCGTCGTATGCTCTCCAAAGAAAACGTCCTCGAAACCCTTACCTTCGCCACTTACTCCGATGGCCATGACAACGGCTTCAGATACTCCACATCCTCCGACAAAACTCGCCAACTATACATGTCTGAAATGAAACAACGTGGGAGAGAAACCCTAACCGAACTTATCGACGAAAACCATCGTCAAAACCGGCCTTTTACATGTGTGGTTTACACCATCCTCCTCACGTGGGTCGCTGAGCTAGCACGTGAGTTCAAGATCCCTTCTGCTCTTCTCTGGGTCCAGCCCATGACCGTCTTCTCCATCTTCTACCATTACTTCAACGGCTACGCAGATACAATCTCAGAGATGGCTGAAAACATTCAAAACAACCCTTCTGGCTTTATTAAGTTTCCCTCTCTGCCACTGTTCAATCTCCGTGATCTTCCTTCCTTCCTCGTCCCTACGAACGCATATGCGTTTGTTCTACCTGCGTTTCGAGAACAGATAGAGTCATTGAAGCAAGAGGAAAACCCTAAGATCCTTGTCAACAGTTTCCAAGAGCTTGAACAAGAGGCTCTAACCTCGGTTCTTGATAACATCAAGATTGTCCCCATAGGTCCGTTGATAACCTCTAGCACCAACTCCAAGACAGACGCTGAATACGTTAAATGGTTGGATACAAAAAGAGATTCTTCTGTGCTTTATATCTCGTTCGGGACGCTTGCCGTGTTGAGCAAGAAACAGCTTGTGGAGCTTTGCAAGGCGTTGATAGAGAGTCGGAGGCCGTTTCTTTGGGTGATTACTGATAAGTCGTACAGAATTAAAGAAGATGTGGAAGAGAAAGAAGAAGATAGCATAAGGAGTTTTAGAGAAGAGCTCAATGAGATAGGGATGGTGGTTTCTTGGTGCGATCAGTTTAGGGCTTTGAAGCATAGATCGATAGGTTGTTACGTGACGCATTGCGGGTGGAACTCGTCGCTTGAGAGCTTGGTCGCGGGTGTTCCGGTTGTTGCGTTTCCTCAGTGGACTGATCAGATGACGAACGCTAAGCTTTTAGAAGATTGTTGGAGGACAGGTGTGAGGGTGATGGAGAGGAAGGAAGGGGGAGAAGTTGTGGTGGAGAGTGGGGAGATACGGAGGTGTGTTGAGGAAGTGATGGAGGAGAAGGCGGAGGAGTTTAGAAGTAACGCGGCGAGGTGGAGTGGTTTGGCGGCGGAGACGGTGAGAGAAGGAGGATCTTCGTTTAATCATCTCAAAGCTTTTGTTGATGAGCACAGGTGAGATTCAGTTCCACAGCTTCTTAATTACCAATTTTATTTGGAGTCTTTTATTTATTTTTCAAAACATCATTACAATGATTTGTCCATTCATTTCTTTAAGAGTTCATGTAATTTTCTTCTTATTTCGAAAACGGGACATGCACCTAAACTTTTTGAAATCTTTACTACATAGTTTAAGATTTTAATCAATAAGGCAAGTTGCTGGTTTTGTTTGTTTCTTGCTTTGGATTTTCTTAAGAGTGAAATATTTATATCATCTATCATAAAATGTAACTTTGGATGCTGATTGGTTGGTTTTAAAGATTGAAAAGTAATTTATTGAAGATGTGGAAAAAAAGAGATAGATAGATAGATACAAGACATGCTCAACGGGTACAATAAAATTAAGTTTTCACTTGGTCTTACTTGACAGCAAAGAAAACAAAGAAATTGAATTTTGAGTTCCTGAGTATATGATTTTTCTTTACGTGTAACACAAGAATTCAAACTCTCAGTGAGCGTTGCGAGTGATCAAACCCTCGAAGATGACATACAGATCTCTGTTGTCACTTCCAAATATCTCTTCAGCTTTTCTAAGCGTTTCCTGCAAAGCACATTGTGGGTTTGATTCAGAATCCAAGTTTCAAATCAAGAGAAAGAAAGAGAGTATTCTCCTTACATCTTTTGTTTGCTTGTGAGCGTTAAGATCCTTGACATTTCCAAGAAACGCACCAAACTGCTCGTAAGATAACCGGCTCCTAATCAAGAATCAATAACAAGATGTACATATGTTAAAAACGCTACATTTTGCAAGAAATTTTCAGATTATGACTCTTTTTTTTTTCACCTGACTTGTCGGAAGAACTCTTTTCCATCAACCCTAGTTCGTCCTGAAAACACAGAGATTATAAAAAACAAAACGTTTAAACTTGTATTATTTTGTCAGAACTCCACAGGGACTTTGGTTTTTAACTTACCGGTGTGGGATCCAGGCTCTGAGATTGAAACAGAAGATCTATTATCATCAAACATCCCTCTAGTGGTAGAGAATGATACAGAATGGCGTCGAGGAGAGATAGGTCTTGAAGTCGTTTTAGGAGTACTAGAAGCTGATAATGTTGGTGGAGAACCAGGAGGAGTAAGCCGAGGCGTAGCAGTCTGAGATACTAATGGAAGACTGTTTGATAAACTCGGTTTAGGAGCTGCGATTTAGGCGTTTGTTAACTTGTGACTCAAGAAACATTAACAAAAAAGCTTAATGGCTTAAGAATTGAGATTTAATCAACCTTCATTTTCGTTGTCTGCTGGTTCAACAACTTCAGAAGCTTGGGACTGGATTGATGAATATCTTGAAGGTTGAAATGGAGAATCTTCATCTGAAAATTTTCACATAAAGCTTTGCACTTTGTGGAAACAAAAGATAAACACAAGAAAACCATACCGTTTGGTGTTGGCTTAGCAATGATTTGTGTTGTTCCTGCCTGTTTAAAAACCCAAAACATAATTAAAAGTTTCTTCACTTTTAAAGCAATTTTTTCAAGAAAGTGAAGTTTTCATTACATTTTGGTCGTCATCTTGAAGTGACATCATAAGCGTCTTCCTAAAACCCTCAAGCTGCAACAATTCATATCCATTAAAAATTTAGTAAAGCTTAAATCTTTATTGCTAAAATTACAAGACCCAAGTCGAGTTTTGAGTCCAAACTTACCTTAGAGACATCTCTCTGGAGTCTCTTCACAGTACTTGACAACGAAGAGTTCTCTCTCACAAGATTCTCCTAAAAAAAATTGAGACGATTAGTCAATAAAAATAACTTGAAATTGATTCGGGTCGGGTCACAGAAGTCAAACACGGGTTCGGACCTTTTCATCTTCGGCGAGAGAAAGCTTTTGCAACGCTTCGGAGAGAGAGGCGTCGAGAGACTCCACGTGTGATTGAAGCTCGGTTATTTCCTTGTCTTTGTCGGCGAGGAGTTCACGGAGATCGGACGACTCTGATTCGAGAGCAGAGACACGTGTCGAGAGAGCAATGGATGTGATTTTGCGGGCCACATCTAGCTGCTCGAAGGGATCGGAGGGTAAGACTTGAAGGACTTCCTCGGGAAGATCGAAACTTATCGAACCTGTAACCGCACTTGGTCTTTCTTCTTCTTCTTGTTCTGACATTCTGTTTGGTCTTTTTCTTTCTTTTTCTTTTTCTGTTATTATCGTTTCTTCTTTTGTACCATATGAGTTGTTTATACATGACCGGTTTTGGTACGGTATTGAACCGGTATTTTTGATTTATCGAATTTGAGTTTAAACCAGACTGGATCTTGATTAAATAACTTATATTCGTCGATTGAGATAAGGTACCACGCAAAATTCAAACGAATGTCGGAACTAAAGGACTGTGTTATGAAAAGATTAGAGTTCCGGTTTGGGGTTTAGATTTCCGGTTCGGTTATTAGATGTTGATATGATTGATAGACGGGAAAGATATGGAGAATGTGGTCACGTATGCGTTGTCTTTTTGTGTTAAAATGAGTGGTGTTGAAATGGGTAAGCCAAATTGTGATCTGTTAATAGATAGGATTTAAAATATCATAGGACCCTTGAAAGGAGACGCAAATATATAAAAAATAAATAAATAAAAGAAAATAAAACTTGATAGATTTTCTTTTTTAAAAATTTATTTTATTAAATCTGATTTGGCACATATTATACCATAAAAGAAAATGATAATGAAAACTAATAGTTTTTCCATACCAAACTAGTCTTATTTTGAAATAAATTAATGAAGTAATTTTTCCTAACATCCATTAAACTTTCAAATCCTTCTTATTCACTAAACCATTCATCACCTATAAAATCTTCCGATCATTTAAATCGCAGTTTTACACCGCCTTCTTACATGTGATCTATTTGAAAACTCACTTAATAATCTACTCATTTCTAAATAGAGATCATCACTTGAACTTTATCCCACGTAATAGTCTTTGTTTTGGAAGTCTTAATATCTATCTAGAATTAATATCTATCTAGAATTTCTGTCAATATTGACATATATCATTCTGAAATTTTCAGTTATACTATAAATATGTGAGAACTTATCAGAAGAGAATTCGAATGATGTTTTGAAAACAAAAAAAAAAATTAATATTTGTATCACCAATAGCTTTAAGTCATTCCACTTCAACGATATTTTTATTTCACTTTTAAACTTTTGAATTTTAATTGGGTTTTTTTTTTACTTAGATTAACATACTAACATATATGTATTATAGGATATCTTCAATTTAAAATTTTGAAATGATTTGATTTCGTAAATTTTTGGTTGATTTTATATGAGTTGAATGTTTACTATTGAATTATGCTAAATCAAATCTAGAATTCTCTTCGAAAATATCAAGTATTACTAAAAAACCTAATAAAAAAACCTAAAATTATTAGAAGAATCTTAAAATATTTTAAATAATTTTTCAATAATATGAATTTATCATAGTAATACAAATCAATTGAAACACAACTCCTAGATATTAGTTTATGTGTGTAAGATATTAAAAAAAAAATGAAAGATTTAACTAATAAAATGATTAAAAGTTACAAGTGTAAAAAAAGATCTGTTAATTAGGAAAGTTACCATTATTCTCCCTTCCATCCTCTCCGCACTCGAGCCTCAATTAACTAAAAGTCCTTTTTATCCAAACCAAAGGTCCCTTGCCTTCTTACACTTCAGATCCATCTCTCTGAGGTTTGTGTCCTTCTCCAATCACTGTCTCCCCATCCCCAAACTCTATTTTCCACTTTCCTCAAATTACCCTTTATCTATTTAAAAATCAGGAATCCCTAATTTGAATCGGGTTTTCGATCAATCGTGAGCAAAAACATGGATTCAGTCGCGACCGTGCCACTGAGCGAGCGCCCCGAGTGGTCAGACGTCGTTCCGTTGACTCAAGACGATGGTCCGAACCCGGTTGTTCCGATCGCGTACAAGGAAGACTTCCGCGAGACTATGGATTACTTCCGCGCGATTTACAACGCCGACGAGCGTTCTCCACGAGCGCTGAGATTAACGGAAGAAGCTCTCCGCTTAAACTCTGGCAACTACACTGTAACTGATCGTTTCTTCTTAGTTCTAAAAGAGTTAGATTCGATTAGTTTGTTTGTAAGTTGTAACTCTTTTTGTTGTTTTTTTTTTTTTTTTTTTGAAGGTGTGGCACTTTAGGCGGTTAGTACTGGAGGAGCTTGAGCACGACTTGTATGAAGAAATGAATTTTATCGAAAGCATTGCTGAGGATAACTCTAAGAACTACCAGTTGTGGTAAAAGTTCGTTCCTTTGGTTTGTTCATGGAAGGTTTCTTTTTGAAATTTTGACTGATTTGTAGTATTGAATATGTTATGTTTTTTTGTGGGAAATTATTAAAATTTGAAACATTGTGTTCCTTAGTTCGTGTTTTGTAGATTTGAGATGAAAATTCTATAGTGTTGTTAGCATATCTGCTGATTTAAGGAAGTTAACTTTTGTTTGTTTGCTTTGATTTTGTGATGTTCAGTTGCTGAGGATAACTCTAAAAACTACATTGTCTCGTTAGTTTGTTCATGAAAGTTCTTTATAGTGCTTTTCTACTGTGAAATTTGACTGATGAATCGTTTTGAAACAAACTTTATATGTTTTATTCGTGGGAATAATTAAACTTTTATGTTTGAGATGAAAGTTTGCTCTTTTATACATTTTAAAGTCCATGGTGTTTAAGTTGTTAACATATCTGCTGCTTTAAGGCCTTTGTTTGTTTGCTTTGATTTGTGATGATCAGTGTATCTGCTCTGATTTTTCTGCTTTTGTTTCTAGGCATCATCGGCGATGGGTTGCAGATAAACTAGGTCCTGAGGTTGCAGGAAAGGAACTTGACTTTACTCGGAGGGTACTATCACTTGATGCCAAACATTATCATGCTTGGTCACATAGGCAGGTTTGTCATCTCACTTGATGAAGTATAGTATTATCTTTTGGGAAACATACATAGGTAGGTTTGTGGTCTCATAACCTTGTTTAAAGCACTCACTATGTTTGTTATCTTCTTTGCTTTATGTTGGGAAACAATCTTAGTGGGCACTACAAGCATTAGGTGGATGGGAAAATGAGCTTGATTACTGTCACGAGCTTCTTGAAGCTGACGTCTTTAACAATTCTGCTTGGAATCAGGTAAAAATTAGTCACATGCTAGATCATGTTTCCCAAATTATCACTGCTTATTAAGTCACCTTTTTGAATCTGGCAGAGGTATTACGTTATTACTAGATCTCCTTTCTTGGGAGGCTTAGAAGCCATGAGAGAATCTGAAGTAAGCTACACAGTCAAAGCCATTTTAGCAAATCCCGGGAACGAGAGCTCGTGGAGATACCTGAAAGCTCTTTACAAAGACGGCACAAAGTCTTGGATTAGTGATCCAAGTGTTTCCTCAGTCTGTTTGAAAGTTCTCTCCCGCACGGACTGCTTCCATGGGTTCGCTTTGAGCACTCTTTTGGATCTTCTATGCGATGGGTTGAGACCAACCAACGAGCATAGAGACTCGGTGAAAGCTCTAGCTGGTGAAGAGCCAGAGACTAACTTGGCCAATTTGGTGTGTACCGTTCTTTGTCGTGTTGATCCTATAAGAGCTAACTATTGGGCATGGAGGAAGAGCAAGATTACTGTGGCAATATAACCGTCCCTGTATCACAGTGGAAACAGTTATTTTCACGTTTTTCTCTACTGCTTTTTCATGAATCTTATGAACATGTTACCATACACCAAAGCAAATCTTAATTTTCTTGGATTCCCATTTTTTCAATCAATGCAAAATATAATGAATCTCAACACTAGTATTGGGTTTTGGAAAATTCAAACCCGGTTTCATCAAATAAGAAAATACAATCGCGGTTTGGGATTAATTCCGGTTCAACGTATGATTGTTGGACATGAAGGGAGAATGTGGTCACGTAAGCTTTGTCTTTTTGTGTGTGTTGTGATATGACAGAATGTGTGGTGTTGAAATGGTAAGCCAAACTTGTTTTCTGTGAATGGTCAGACTTATAACTTGTAAGACCATTGAAAAGATATACATTAAAACAAATATGACAATTAGCAATTCAAACCAGAAAAGTATCAGAACTAAAGTCTAATGTTCCTATCTTTCTGGATCGGTATATTGTCAAGCCTGTAATGCTCAAGTTCTCTAATCCTTACCCAAACTTGTCAACACTTGGGTGTCATAAATTATTGGGGAACACTTTTAACCATTTAATCCTTAGCGCCTATCCATGTATTTCTTAATGGTCGACTTCCGAATGGTTTTGGAGAGACCACACACATTATATGCATTATGCATATACCCAAAAATTTAATAGAAATAATGTAAGTTAATTACAAAGAGCTCATAAATTATTTTCGTAACGCAAGTTACAACAATTCATATAAATTAACTTGGACGACTATGGCTGTAATAAACTATCAATGTTAATTCTAGCAAATTTTAGTTTGAAACAATGCCCAAGTTTATATGTCAGCATTTATTATTATATAAATATAAACGATGGATTACAGATGTAAAACCCTATTTTGTTACCTCGCCGGATCCCAGACATCAAGCGTTCGATCACATCTTCCCCGCGAGTCCGTAACAATCACAGTTTACTATTTTATGGTATGTTTTTAGAGTTATCATTTCCTTAAAAATATGAAGACCAGAAGGTTCCATAGGAGGCACATACTACCATAATATTTGTGACCTAGTTAACTCCAGCATGAATGTGTAAAGACACTTCCAGATTCTTCGGAAGTTATAACACTTCCACATGGCCATACGTTTTTATATATATTGTGTGATACTGAAAGTGTTTTAAAGCTATGTATGCATATAAAAAGATTAAATACATACACATGAAGCTCCAATTTATTAAACTTCTAATAGTTTAATAAAATAATATATATACTGTCAACTGCTCATATGATTAAATCAAATTTTGATCGATATATATGTTATTTCAAAGAACAATTCTATCCAATCAGATAATGTCTTAGTCTATATCGAAAAATATTACTCTTCTAGTCTCAGTTTCTTTCGTTACTAAATCTGCACGAAAATTTCTACGTATGGGCATATGGATTCACTCGCACTAAATATAATATATAACACTCTTAACTATAGTTAATTATTTTGATATTTGCTGCCAAAGAAAAAGTAGATAAAATTATATGGCCACATACCTCTCCTGGAACCTGGCAAGTCGCATTCACACCCAGCATCACCACAAACACTTCTAGGTTAATCATTTTTAACTTGTGGAAGATAAACCAAGCAATATATATCATGTACAAATAAATTTTAGTTTGAAAGCTTTTTCGAACATAAATTGATATATAACCTCGTAATTTTGTTGAATCTGATTCTTCTTCAAAAACGTTTTCTTAGAAATTAATTTAAATGGTAGCCACTTATATGGTCGTTGGTAGAAAGAGGTGAGGAACAACCATGGAATGGACACATTGGCTAATCATAACCACATCTACATACCATCCACTCACGTCACACCGTCAAACCAAAAATCTATGAACTCCCAAAGAAATAAAAATAAAAATAGATCACATAAAGTCTATGTTTCTAATAAGAACCAACAAAATAAAAGAAATTATAAAAGCGTCCGCCATATTTCCTCTCTCGCTACTGGCTCACCATCAAACACCAATTATATATCTCTTGTAGATTTTATACAACTCTTCAAGAGAAGCTTTATTCTATTTATGTTTAGTGAGTTAGGTTTTGAGTTAGGTTTTATGTAAAAATGAAAAGTATGATTAAGACGACGCTTGAACTCTTCAAGGGAGATGGAGTGTACCGTACGGATCATCTCGACAGAAACCGACTGGTTAGTCTTAGTCGATCATACCGGCTAAGTAATGGATCAAACCGGGTTTCCAGAGCCGGTATTATCCATTGCAAACGGTTAAGCATAACGAAGACCGGTATGCATGGT